TGGGTGGTTGGTAGCCAGGACCCATTGGAGGAGCTCTGGCTAGGGAGAATCAGGGGGAGTGGAGTGTCTGGGCTGTGCCAGGATACCACAGCACAAGGGGAACAGAGGGGCAGCACAGGAGAGGGTACGAGCAAAGAGCCTGAAACCAACGAACAGGAATAGGGTCCTGAAGCAGGGCAGCCTAGTGCTCAAGCAAGGAGTCAGGCCCAGGAATGTAGAGCTATGCTCGAGAGCCCTGGCAGGGCTTGGGAGAATAGGGAGGGGAGAGAGGGAAGAAGGTGGCATAGGGAGAGGAATCCTCGATGTTTCAGGGTTGGGCAACATACACCAGGCTGAGGGAGGCAAAATAGCACAGGCAAGGGGCAGGGTTTCGTTGTCCCAAAGGGAGCCCACAGGGACAAGAGGCCAGGTCAAGTCTCCTGGCTTGGGTGAGCATCCTGGGAAACGGATCAGGAAAGAGAGCCTAACAGGGAGAGGGACCATGGGGGGGGGGGCAAAGAATGGCACAGCAGGAAAACCTGGAGGATGGGTGCTGGTGGGCTGGGGTCAGGACCACAGCAAGGAGCTCTGGCTAGGTTTCTAAAGGAGGTCCCTCAGTAGGGGAGAGCAGGGAAGGGCAAGGTTGGGCTGGTAGGCTGCACTAGTGGATTGCAGTGCAGGGCAACCAAGGAGAGATGGAGAGCAGTCCAAGCAAGGGGCCCACAGTTAATGGGCAACAAGGACCATCAGAGACTCAAGTGAGGAGCCAAGCTAGGGAATGGGGGGCCAAGGGCCAGTGTTGGGGCAGGGGCCTCAGGACAGTGGACAGGGCTTGGGAGAAAAGGCAGGTGATCCAGCAGCAGGGAGGCAACCTTGAGTGCCAGCACCACTGCCAGGTGTCAGGGTTCCGAGTGCAGGACCAAGGGTCCAGGGAGACCAAGGGTTCCCAGGCGAGGGGCAGTGCTCTGGTTCCCATAAGATGCCTTCACCTAGATTAAAATCAAAGATCAGCAACCTGGCAAGGGTGTCCTACTAGGGACTACTGCAGGAAGATGGCACAGGAGGGCATTGCACGGGCTCCCGGTGGGTGCAGAGAAGGGCAAGATCCAGGATCCAAGCAAGGAGACCAGGAAAGGGACCGACCCGACAAACAGTGGTTTATGGACCAAAGGAGCAGGAGTCTTGTGCTGCAGAGAAAGCACGAGGGAAAGGAGAGGAAGGGGCGACACTAGGGTGAGTAGACAGAGGGCACCATAAAGGACACGGTGGGGAATGCGCTAGAGGGTCCAAGCAAGGGGCCCCTGGGTCAGACCCAACACCAAGTGACACCACATGAAGTCATGCGACACGAGGAATGCAGTCAGGGGCTAAGGTACGCGGCCAGGCCTGGGGACTGGAGCATGAAGGGTCAGGGTTAAGGATGGATGGGTTGGGGCAGGATTCAAGGTTAGAGGTCACAGGATAGAAGGGACGAGATCAAGAAGGGCAAGGTTGTCCGTAGACTCAAGTCCACTGCCAGGTGTGAAGGTTCCAGCTGCGAAGGGGGCCCAGGCGTGGGATAGGGCTATGTTTTCCATAGGGAGCATTCAGGGTGCAAAAGCCAGCCAATTCCACCCCTATGCCCCAGGTGAGTAGATCCTCAGAGAGAGACTGAGACCAAAGGACGCGAAAGGAGGGCATTGTAGGGGATCCGGTCTTTCGGGATTTGGGGAGTGTTGGGGGTTGCCAGGACATATTCGAGAACAGTCTAGGGATAAGCAGGAGGACAGGAAGGTCTAGGTAGTTCCAAGATACCACAGTACAAAGGGAACTGAGGGGAGGCACAGGAGAGGGCTTGAAAATGGACCTTGAAATCACAGGACAGGGACAGGGTCTTCCAGAAGGATGCCCAGGGGGCTGCAACAAGGAACCAGGCCCAGGAATAGAGAGCCAAGTGCCTTGGGCCTGGCCAGCATTGCATGAAAATGGACAGGGCTTGGAAGGGGAGGGAGGGGAGAAATGTGATCTGGTAGCAAAGGGAGAAAACACTCCCCTGCCAAAATACAAGATAAATAAATATCCAAGTAAATATTGGCAGCACACCAATTATACCAGCGACTCAGGAGACCAAGGAAGGAGTACTACCGAGTACCAGTGGTGCCTCAGCAAGTAGGCCCCAAGCAATTGGAGGGGAGCCTGTGTCCAAAAAAGGGCTGGGGATGCGCCCCGTGGTAAATCACCCCCGTGTTAAACCTCCAGTATCAATCAGAAAATCTGTAGTGAAGACACACTTTATTCTTGTCACTATTCTCAGGATAGTCAGTGGTCTATTTAGATGGCATTTAAGTCGAATTGGGTACCAGACATCAGAGTGATCGAAAATATAGGGAACATGTGCATGAATCATGTGAAAAGACATGACTCCAAAGGACCTGAGAATACCATGTGTTACAGTAGCCACAAAGCACCCTGAAAACAGACCCATGCAAATACCATGGGACAAATAAATACCCAAACTTAATGGCGGGGCTGGGGTTGTAGCTCAGTGGCTCAGCACTGGACTCTCATGTGTGAGGTGCTGGGATACACCCTGGCACCATGTAAAAAAATAAAATGAAATAAAGAAGGGGGGGCAGGGGGACAGTGTGCACATCTACAACTAGGGGAAAAATGTTTAAAGAGAACTTAATGGCAGGTGTGGGTTTGATATTTGTGACTCGGCCACTTTGGGTGGTAAACTGAGAAGGGGAAAAGCTTAATCACATTCAGGAATGCCATATTTATTCAATCTCATTTATTCCGTTTTTAAGACATTCTTCCTAACTTGTTTGTAGGTCCGCAGGAGTCGTTACCGGGGAAGGTCTTCTTTCCCGTGCTGACGCCAATCGGGTATCATCTCTATGGATGAGTTGAGCCTAGGAAAGAACGAGAAGCCAAACATTACCTGAAATCCATGGAAGAGACATAGTCTCACAAGCCTCAGTAGGAATAGATCTCTAGTATCCCGGTGGGGATAAAGTAAAGGTCTTCATTCTGAAATCCTGTCAGTCAAGTGACCTCCGACCCCCTCCCCCCCACACTCAGGGCCAAGGCTTGGGAGTGGGGGAGACATAATCAATGCCAAAGCTCAATCAAGGGAAGCCTTTCGCCCTGCCAGCTCTCTGCAGGGTGGGCCAAGGCTGCCTTCTCCAACAGGGACACTGGTCAAAGTCACAATGACTCTCCGCCCACAGGCCCACTGACCCCCTCCCGAGATGGGGAAGCCAGAGCCCCCTGGCACCGTGATCCCTCCAGGTGGGCTGCCCTGGCTGGGTGCCTTCTGGCACCCGACATCAAGGGTCTCACAGCCCTCCTCTGTCTTCAGCCTAGGGAGCACAGGCGGCTTCAACTCACCCGTCTTTCCTCCACCGCTCAAGAGCAGAAGGGGCGGGTGAGGGACCTCAGACCTCCAGGGTTCTGCTGTCCCAATCTCTTTAAAAATTCTGCCCTTCATGTAAATCAGGCGGTCCTCGGCGTGGACTTCTTGGAAGAGGCCTTCCACCTCATAGATCCATTCATCCTGGCTGTCCTCCAAATCCTCCAGCGCGATGTCGTAATCGGGGTCTCCCTTCAACACACAGATGGCCCTGCGGTTTGGAAAGAGAGCAAAGGCTTCCTTCTCCCTGCTCTGCGCACCCTTCCGGAGCTTCGGGCTGCTTGTTAGGTGATCACTGGCCTCCCCGAAGTCAGCCTCCAGGACCACCTCTCCGTCTCTCCTGAACTCCCTCCTCTCCTCTTCTGCTGAGGCCTTTTTTCTCCTCAGGGACCCCGCAGTCGCGCAGCTGTCCTCTGCAGAGGCGTCCTCAGGGGCGCTCCAGTCACACTGCTGGGACTTGATCCTGGGGGACCCAGCCTGCGGCCCAGGAGCGGAACAGGCACTCTCGGAAGAGCTCACCTCCACAACCACGATCTCCTCCCTGTTCTCCAGGTACTCGGACAGTGTGTCTGAGTCACAGTCAGGTACCCAGTACATACACTCAA